ACAAGTTTGACCAGACCCCAGGTTTGGGGCCCCGGGTTGGGGGCCCGGAGGCCACCCACCCCTTTTTCCCTTGGTGGATTCTCTCCCCCCCCGCTCCGGAGGCCTTTTTTTTCCACAAGACTTTACTTTTAAAGGCTGGAAGGGCCTTGGGGGGGTTTTTTTTAATTAAAATGAGGCAGCAAGAAAAAGATAATTTTCACCTGTCCTCCCCCTTATGGGGAACTTGGGGACCAAAGTAACTTTGAATTTAAATGCCCCAGAGGCATAGGCCCTTGGAACAGCCTTTTGTTTCTCAGAGGGAAGGCGGGAAAGGGGAAAGGGTGGGATAAGTTCACCCAAAAAATTTTTAACAATACATCCTTACCCCAGGGACATGGCCCATAGGGTAGGAAGGGTAAGGGGGGGGGGTTGGGGGCCTGGAAGAGGTCAAGGGGGGGGGGGGGGGGGGGGGAGAAGTACATATGTAATACTTTCAACAATAAATATTTAATTTTTTAAAAATTAATACAACCAAGAGCTGGTTTTTTGAAAAGATTAAAAAATTGACAAATTTCTGCCTAGACTTATTTTGGAAAAAAGAAAAAGACCCATATAAACAAAATCAGAAATGAAAGAGCAGAAATTACCACACACATCACAGATTTACAAAGAATCATACTAGAATACTATGAAAGACTATATACCTTCAAATTAAATAATCTAGAAGAAATGGATAAGTTCCTAGGAGTATATAATCTTCTTAGACTGAATCGGGTAGAATTGGGAAATCTAAATAGACTGATTAGCAGTGAGGAAATGGAAACAACCATCAAAAACCTCCTGAAATATAAAAGATCAGGACCAGATGGCTTCCCCATTAAATTCTGCCAAACATTCAGAGAAGATTTGAAACCTATCCTAATCAATCTCTTCCAAAAAGCTGATGAAAAGGCAATATTTCCTCATTTTTTGAGGTGAACATAACTCTGATACCAAAAGCTGGCAAGGACACCACACACACACAAAAATAATAAAACTACACCCCAATGTCTCTGATGAATACAGATGCAAAAATCTTAAACTAAATACGAGCAAAGTGAATACAACAATGCATTAAAAAGATAATACATCATGATCAAGCTGGGTGGGGAGAGGTCAGAGAGGGTAATCGGGGGATTAATGGTGATAGGAGACTTGATTCGGGTGGCGAACACTCAGTACCAAATACAGACGGTGTATTATAAAATTGTACACCTGAAACCTACATAATTTTGTTAACCAATGTCACTCCAATAAATTGAATTTAAAAAAGCTAAACATAAAGGGAGTCTCGATTAGAAAAGGAGGCAAGAAGGGCTTTGAAGGGGAGCCTAAGGAGCGTGGGCTTTAGCCGCTCAATGGACACAGCCAGGTATTATTCCAAAGGTATTAAGAGCAGCATCGCCTCCTGCAGTATATTTTATTTTCTGTTCATCCTCACCAGAGGATGTTTTCCCACTGATTGTAGATAGAGTGGGAGGGAGGGAAAGAGAGAGCGAGCGAGGGAGACATGCATGTGAGACCCATAGATTGGTTGCCTCCTGCACCCGCGCCACCAGGCGGGGAATCGAACTTGCAACCCAGCAGGTGCCCTTGACCAGGAATCCAACCCGAAACCCTACGGTGCGCGGGTCCGCGCTCCAACCACTGAGCCACCCGAC